TTATTTATTTGAGTTGACTGTTATCTCTGCATATATATATTTGTACATGAGTTCAGTTCAGAACTGGGATTTATTTCATTTTATTTGTTGTACTGTCTATTTATTTCTGTCTTGTCTGTAGTCACTGGAGAAGCATTCGAGCTTGATTTTCTACGTCCTTTTATCCAGGACTTGTTCATAAGAAAACAGCTTTGACTTTGTTGCTCATAAATAGTGTCGGTGATTGGAAAAAGTGTTACATTTTGTGTTTGTGCTCCAGGAGAGGTCACGATTTTCAAGTTTGATTATACTGATTAAATGTATCACATGCACTGTAAATAATATATCAACTGATGAATGAATTGTGTTGTTTTAATGATGTTGGAGTGTGTGATTGCTTTGGTTCATTGCAGTGGTGTGTGTGTGTGTGTCTCCAGACGTCTGTTCTGTCAAAGGGCAAAATCAGATCTATAAAAGCAGATGGGGGCCATTACTTTCAAAGCTGCTCTATCTTTGTTTCCGGCTTTGCACGTGATAAAATATTGATGGAAAAATAGAAATATTTTGCCTCCTGCTTAATGTTGGCCATCTGAGGGGGTTAATGACTGATCTCATGTTAAACCCTGAGGAGCCGCTGCTCAATCGATAGCTCTTTATCACAGTATTCGGCTCTATAGATGATTTTCCGTAATCCTACAAACGTCCAGCTTCAGCTCGAGCTTCTCGTGTCAAGTAAGCGTCAGAATAACTGCAGTAATATCTCCAGATGAACACTTACTGCACTGAAGCAGCTCAGCTTTACTTGATTCTCCATCAATCATGTTTTAGAGTCTCAAATCTGATCCTCAGGATCTTTTGAGGAGCGTTTGTTTCCAGAAGCTTTACTTTCACTGTTCCTCAGCGGAGGAATGATCTTCACAAGCCTCCAGAACATCTCACATCTTCTGAGGAGCCTTTATTTCTTCAGCTCTCAATCACTGCATTATATGTTTGGAGCATTTACATCTCATCTTACTGAGACAGATTACTGCAGATATAGAGCGACGACTGATATTTAGATCATTTTATGTGAGTATCTGCTGCACTGTTATGAAGATCTCACTGATTTACAGCACAAGCAGCAGAATTTCATCATATCAGCACATCATTCATATTTTTGCTTAGTTTGAGTCTCTGAATAAAATTGAGCTGTTTTTTCCTCCATATTCTCACTTTATCAGACTATACGAGCCATAAGAGCCTGATATGCAAATTAGTTTTTACATATATTTTTTCTAAAGGTTCTATTTAAAACCATGTTTCTGGCTATTATTTCATATGCCAGGCTTTAAGGTGGTTGTGTACACACACTGCCAACACACATTTCAGTTCAAACAACTTGTAAAAGTGCGTGTAGCATCCTATGACCCCTTTAATTAGTTGTTGTTTATATAGAGAGTGGCATCAATTATTTTATAGCATTTATTTATTTGTTACGAAGTGATGTAATTGCATTAATGCATAAATAACACAACTATGATTTGGGTTTGTTTTTTTATTTTTCCAGATAATAGTGAACGTAGGAGTGTTTAATGATGTCACAAAATGTCACATGATGACAAATATGAGTAATTTTTATGCTTCAGGAACAATATATGAAATACCCATGATGATGATTCATGCTATTTAATTTTCTAGGAGGTTGCTTAAAGTTATTTAAAGAAACATGAATGCAATTCAAGAAGAATTGAGTGCTTTATTTATTTATTTAGGGTTATGTTTTTATATGAGGTAACAAACACGGGTAACAAAAAGTAAATGTATGTATTTCCATTGAATTAAGTTATGAGTAAATATGTGAAAAGGCCAGAGAAAGCCTAACCTAATACAAAAAACATCTCTGCGCAGCTGTTTATCATTTATAAATATTTTATACATTTTAATGCATTTTACATTCTGTAAATATTTAATGCTTTTTAATGTTTTCAAAATTGTACAATTAACATTTAACACTAAAAATAATAACTAATAAATCTTGTTTTCCATTTGAATTAAAATGATTTTTTCTTACATCAGCAGATATTTTTTTCTTGTTTTAAACATAAACTCACTTAATATTGATACTTTTTTTTTTTTCAGAAAATAAGACTTAATATCTTCAGTCATTTTGCCTTTCAAGTAAATCTGTCTTGATTTAAAAATCTTTAGATATTCATACTGAAAAAAATTTAATTTAATAATTGAATATAAGTTACTTCTACTCCTTAATATGTTTTCAAAATTGTGCAATTAATATCTTACACTACATTTAAATTGCATTTTTCTCTTGTTTTCCAGTACAAATATCTAAGCATCCTTAAATCAAGATGCATTTACTGGAGAAGCAAAATAACGTCAGATATTAAATCTTGTTTTATGAAAAATGGATCAAAATGAAGTGAGAAAAAAATATAAATATCCGCAAATGGGGTCAGAAAAATAATCTTGTTTTCCCTTTAAATTTAATTAATTTTTCTTAACACAATGGCAGATATTTGTTCTTGTTTTGAGCATAAACTCACTTAATTTTTTAGAATTTTAAATTACATTTTTTTTTAGAGAACAAGGCCTAATTAAGTCATTTTGCATCTCGTGTAAATGTATCTTGATTTAAGATTGTTTAGATATTTGTACTTGGAAAAAAATAATTAAGTAAATGTAACAAAATATAATAATTAGTCATAAAAAATAGTAATAATTATTATTATTTAGTACAATTTTTTTTATAATTATTTAATAATAATTTAAAAAAGAAATAAGTAAATGTAACAAAATATAATAATTAGTAATAAAAAATAGTAATAATTATTATTATTTAGTTTTTTTTTTTTTAAGTAATCCACAGCACTCCAGTCCACTAACTAACATCTGGAGAAGACAAAAGCTGAGACAAATCCAGCATTAAGACGTTTTTAACTAAAATACATAGAGTCCATACTCCATAATAACGCTTCCTCCAGTGAAAAAGCAGTGTTGGGTGTAACTAGTTACTAAGTAATTAGTTACTGTAATTTACCTGAGTTAATAAGAATATTGGTAACACTTAAATGTCCAATTCTCACTATTGACTAGTTGGTTATTAGCATGAATACTACTGGGATATTAGCTGTTGATTATTACTTAAAAAGCACATATTAATTCTGCAAGACCTTATTCTAAATCCTTAATCCTACCCAATTCTTAAACTTAACCAGTGTTGTGGGTAACGCATTACAAGTAACGCGAGTTACGTCTCAAAATGAATAAAAATAATGCAACTCAGAATATGACGCAAACCTGCAATAATTAAATGTTAAACAACACAAATATGCTTTATGTATTTAATCCCATTCTATTTGCTTCTGACCTCCGATGATCCAGTTCGACCGTACTAATAAGCCAAAATTACTCTAGACAAACATTTGTGTCTTTGTTTATTGCTGAAGTGTGTTGAAATGTCTTCTTCTGCATTCTACTGTACTTTCCCTTCAGCCTGATGCTTATTCATTTAACTTTTGGTGTGAAAAGGCTTTTATATTCGCCAAAAATAGAACTTTTGTATTTTAAAAACAAACAAGCAAGCCCTGTCCAGATTTAAAAAGTAACGCAAAAGTAACGTAACGCATCACTTTCCAGAAAAAGTAACTAAGTACCGTAATTAGTTACTTTTTTATGGAGTAACGCAACATTGTAACGCATAAGTAACTTTCCCCAACACTGAACTTAACAACTACTTTACTAAGTATTAATAAGCAGTAATTAGGAGTATATTGAGGCAAAAGTCATAGTTAGTTAATAGTGAGACTCTAATCTAAAGTGTGACCAGAATAATTTATGTAGTTATCTATTATTATTAATTTGAAAGTATTAAAAGAACCGTTTCAGGTCTATCCTTGAATCATTTACTTGTCGAGGTTGATATAGGATTTAGAAAGTAATTAGTAATAAGAGAGTAATTTGTACAGTAACCACTATTGAAGATTAGTAACTAAGTGATTTGTGCAGCTCGATCACTCTTGATATAAAATGACACATCTGTACAAATGTCCTGAATCAAGTGTCTTGTCTATTATTTGATTAATTAATACTATTGTACCTAGTAACATGAATGGAATATCACTGCTGCTTGGCGTTTGTCATTTTTACACTCTTTATTCTTAACATTAATTCATTTAAATGCTAAAACAAGGCGAATAAATGTAAAATAAAAGAATAATAATATCAATAATAATTAATAAAAAAGATAATAAGGCAGATCACAGTCATTATGTATACATAATAAATACAATAAAAAAGAAAAGTAAGAAATAAAGATTTAAAAACGACAAAAAAGGAAATGATTAATTAAAATGAAAGCATTAAATAATATAGTTTTGTGATATCAAATGAGCAATGCAAGTTATGTAGCCTAGCACATTTCATACACAATGCTTTACATAAAAATAATACGTAATATATATATTTACATAATAATTTAATAAATATAGTACAAATAAAAAGTACATATAAAAGTGTTAAAAACAATAAAAATAAGTAGAATAATTAATTAATTAAAATTAAATACATTAAATAAAATACTTCTTGTTTTACATTTAAAAAAAAAAAAATATATATATATATAGTAGATTACGTAAGAAATAAAAAAAGTTTTAAAAAGAATAAAATAAATTAATATAACTTAATTGAAATGAAATACATTAAATAAAATACTTCTTGTGCTCTACATAAAAATAGTATGAATATATGATAAATATAATATATAATAATATAACAAATATAACCAAAGCAAAAAGTTACATAAGAAATAAAATCCAAAAACAATAAAAAAGAAATAGATCAATTAAAACTGAAATACTTGTTAATGAAAGAATTGCCAAGTAAGGTCAGGTTAGGGTTAAAAAGTAATAAAGTGAACTCTTTATTGAATAAGCTAATAAATCAATAATAAAGTACAGTGCAGTGAACCGCCATAAGAACCACGTGTGTGAAATCTCGCAGAGTCTCGTCTCTCGCTGAGGTCTCGCGATTCTCCCGCGCGCGTTTCCTGTTCCGGAGTCGGTAGTGTGCGCTGTGTGTGTTTATGCGCTTGTGTGTGTGTGTGTGTGATGATGATGATGGCGGAGCTGGTGCAGGGACAGGCCTCGGTGGCTCAGACCGGGATGAAGGACGGATTCACGGACCCCTTCCACCGCGCGAGACAGGTAGAGGCGCGAGCGAGCGTGTGTGTGTGTTTGACGCGCGAGTGTGTGTGTGTGTGTGTTTGACGCGCGCGTCTAGACTGAGAACGCTTAGCCTGCTAGCTGCTAGTGCTGCAGGAGCTTTAAAACTCCAGCACACACACTCACACACACACAGATTAAGGCCACAACACGACAACAACCGTAAAACAGCATTTAGACGCGATCAAATCGCGCAACATCGCGCTGACAGCAACTTTAGCGCGGTCTGCTCGACCACAAACTCCGAAAACAGCAGCGACAAACTGCTGCAACCTGTTGTTGTCCTACACACTTCTTACAACTTCCCTCAGCGAACTCCATTACACCATTACATACAGTATTGCGTGTAGTGCATCTGCTCGTATGAGCATTTTTAATACTCAATATTCATCTCGGCGGAAATACTACATGCCACACTACATGTAATGGAAAAATTACGCTTAAAATTATTAAAAGTGATAATTTCACCATTACATATAGTGTTGCAAGTAGTATATCTGCTCATATGTGCGATTTTTAATAAGTGTAACTTATTTTACCATTACATACAGTATTGTGTGTAGTGCATCTGCTCATATGAGCACTTTTAATACTCATAATCTTCATCTCACAGCGGAAATACTACATGCAATACTACATGTATTGGAAAAATGATTCTTATAATGATTAAAAGTACTAATTTTACCATTACATATAGTGTTGCAACTCAAGTAGTATATCTGCTCATATGTGCATTTTTGATACTCATAACATTCATCTCACAGCGGAAATGCTACTTGCAATACTATATGAAATTTTAAAATGATGCTTATAATGATGAAAAGTGATAATTTCACCATTACATATAGTATTGCATGTAGTATATCTGCTCATATGTGCAGTTTTTAATAAGTGTAACTGTCATTTCACCATTACATACAGTATTGTGTGTAGTGCATCTGCTCATGAGTACTTTTAATACTCATAATCTTCATCTGAGCTGAAATGCTACATGCAATACTATATGCAATGGCAAAATGATCGCTTTTAATAATTATAATCATAATTTTTACACTATACATAATATTGCATGAAGTATATCTGCTCAGATGAAGATTACAGTTATTAAAAGTGCTCATTTCACCATTTCATATAGTATTTTGTGTAGTGCATCTGCTCATATGAGCACTTTTAATACTCATAATCTCAGCGGAAATACTACATGCAGTACTTTATGTAATGGTAAAATGTTGCAATACTATATGAAATTTTAAAATGATGCTTATAATGATGAAAAGTGATAATTTCACCATTACATATAGTATTGCATGTAGTATATCTGCTCAGAGATGAGCAGTTTTCATTATTTTAATCATCATTTTACTGTTGTATGTAGTATTGCATGTAGTATTTCCGCTGAGGTGAAGATTGAGTATTAAAAGTACTCACCTGAGCAGATATACTACTTGCAATAATGCATGTAATCGTAAAATGATGCTTATAATGATTAAGTGCTCGTTTCACCAATACATACAGTATTGCGTGTAGTATATCTGCTCATATGAGCACTTTTAATACTCATAATCTTCATCTCAGCAGAAATACTACATGCAGTGCTATATTTAGTAGCAAAATTATGATTTAAAGTACTCATCTGAGCAGATATAGTACTTGCAATACTATATGAAATCGTAAAATGACGATTATAATGATTAAAAATGATCATTTCACCATTACATATAGTATTGCATGTAGTATTTCTGCTCCGATGAGCACTTTTAATCATCATTTTGTCATTGTATGTAGTACTGCATGCAGTATTATTGCTGAGATAAAGATTATGAGTATTAATAGTGCTCATATCAGCAGAAATGCTACATGCAACACTATATGTAGTGGTAAAATGATGATTGTAATTATTAAAAGTGCTTATTATACCATTACATATAGTATTGCGTGTAGTATATCTGCTCGGATGAGTACTTTAAATACTCATAATCTTCATCTTAGTGGAAATACTACATGCAGTACTATATGTAATGGTAAAATGATGATTAAAAGTACTCATCTGAGCAGATACTTGCAATACTATATGTAATCGTAAAATTACATTTATAATGATTAAAGTGATAATTTGACCATTACATATAGTATTGCATGTAGTATATCTGCTGAGATGAAGACTATGAGTATTAAAACTCCTCTTTTTACCATTCCATATAGTATTGCATGTAGTATATCTGCTCAGATCAGCACTTTTAGTCATTTTAATCATCATTTTACCATTGTATGGCCTGTAATATATGTGCTCAGATGAGCTGTTTTAATACTCATAATGTTCATATCAGCAGAAATACTACATGCAATACTATATTTCATGAAAAAAGTTATTAAAAGTGCTCATCTGAGCAGATATACTGCATACAATACTGCATGTAATGATAACATAACTATTATTATTAAAACTCCTCTTTATTACATATAGTATTGCATGCTATCTGCTCAAATGAGCACTTTTAATACTCAATCTTCATTTTACCATTACATACACTATTGCATGTAGTATATTTGCTTAGATAAGGATTATAATTATTAAAATTGCTCAAATGAGCATATATACTACATGCAGTACTATATTTAATGATAAAATAACAATCATTATTAAAGTACTAATTTTAGCATTACATATAGTATTGCAAGTATTACACCTGCTGCTGAGATGAAGATTGAGTATTAAAAGTGTTAAATAAAAAATAAAAAGTATTAAAATACGCAATCTTTATTTTATTATGTATAGTATTGCATGTAGTAAATCTGCTGAGATCAGAGCACTTTTATGAGGGTAAATAATAATTATAGAAGTGCTGCATGTAGGATATATGCTTAGATGAGCAGTTTTAACCATTATAAGTGTAATTTTACCATTACGTATTGTATTGCATGTAGTATATCTGCTCATATGAGCACTTTGAATAATTGCAATACTATAGGTAATGGTAAAATAAAGATTACATGCAGTATATCTGCTACAATGAGCACTTTTATTAATTATAGTCATTTTACTATTACATATTGCATGCACTATATCTGCTCATATCAGCACTTTTAATACTCAAAATCAAAATGTTACAATTATATACCGTAGTGCGTGAAGTATATTTACAATTAAAGGTCTTACACTATACCACAGAAGTTCTTGCAGTTATTTTGGTCATTGAGTTCATTGTTAAAGTCATTGATTTCATGAGAGCTGTACAGTGAGCAGCGACATGCAGCTGTCATGACACACGCGCGTCAGTATTTCAGAGAGAAGCTCGCGCTGTGAATATGAGACACTTTGAGAGGAGTCGCTCATGCATGCATGGGCCACGCCACGTTTGCATAACATGAAAAACCAGACGGGAGGCGTAAACTCGCATGAGTTTTCCATTATTATCGCTTATTTGTACCATGCAGGTGTGATTTCAAGAGTGTAACTTTGTCATACAGGTTGCAAACAATTGCATCCTTCATTTTCGTTAATGTTAATAAAGCAATAAGCCCCAAGAAGCCGTGGTTTACAGTGATTTTATAACAGCTAAGGGGCGTTGTTCGCGGAGTGCCTAAAACCCTCTTAGCTGTTATAAATTCATTGTAAACCACGGCTTCACGGGGCTTATTGCTTTTATAAAACGGTTATTCCATATACGTAGTAAGGTTTCACAAAATAAAACAGCAAATAAAGTGTAATGATATTAATAAAAACAGTATTCTTCCACCAAACAATGTAGCTCCTCAGAAACAGTTGTGGTTGCAACAAAGTGGTTGCCGAGCAACAGACAAACGTAAACAAAGGTGTATCTTACTTTGTAGAGTCATTTACAACAGCTTCG